TCAGGACACTGGGAGACATGGGGACACAGACTCTAAGGGACACTGGGAGACATGAGGATACAAACACTAGGGGACACTGGGCAACATGGGGACACTGAGACACTAGGGTACACTGAGAGACATGGAGGCACTGGGGGACACAGGGAGACATGGGGACACTGGGCGACTTTGAGACCTAGGAAACATGGGGCACTCCCAGTGTCCCCATGTCTCCCAACCAGTGTCCATAGTATCTCAGTATCCCCATGTGTCCCTGGTGTCTCTCAGTGTCTGTAGTGTGCCAGTGTCCCTAGTGTCTCAGTGTTTCCTAGTCTCCCAAAGTCCCCTAGTCTCCCAATGTCTCCCAGTGTCCCCATGTCTCCTAGTGTCTCAGTGTCCCCTAGTTTAAAAGAAAAAATCTCAGGCACTCACAGTGATAGATTTAGGCAGGTTTATTGGACACTGCAACGTTTCAACCTGTACCCAGATCTTTATCAAGTCTCCAATGTCCCTTATGTATCAGTGTACCCTATGTATCAGACTATCTCAGTGACTGTCTCAGTGCCTCATGTCTCTCAGTGCCCCATGTTTCTCTGCCCGTAGTGTGTCTGTGCACGTAGTGCCTCAGTGTCCCCTCGTATAAAAGAAAAAAATTTCAGGCACTCACTGTGATAGATTTAGCCAGGTTTATTGGATACTGCAACATTTTGACCTGTACCCAGGTCTTTATCAAGTCTCCAGTGCCCCCTATATCACAGTGTCTCAGTGCCCCATGTCTCCCAGTGTCCCCATGTCTCCCAGTGTCCCCATGTCTCCCAGTGTCCCCAGGTCTCCCAGTGTTCCCTAGTATCTGTGCCCCCATGTCTCCCAGTGTCCCCATGTCTCTCAATGTCCCCTAGAGTCCTAGTGACATGGGGACACTGTGAGACATGGGGACACAGACACTAGAGGACTGGGAGACATGGGGACACATGTGTATGTTCACCCTTTCGGCCGTTCTGGTTATGTGATTTGTGTCAGTGGGGATATGTGTTTTCTCATAGTTGCATCCAGATACATGGCACTTAGGAGGTAGGACTGTTTTAGTGTTTTTGGTCAATAAGATTTTGTAATTAGGCCCATCATAATTATCAGCACCAGGCCCACTGGGCTCTTAATCCGGCCCTGTCCACGTACCAGCACCTCTGAGCTACCAGAGACAATTGATATGAGTAGTTGCATTGCATATAGACTGTTGCATATATGTTCAAATGGTTCAGGGCACATGACAAACCATGTGTCCCAATACAACTTACAAATAACGTACTCACCATCTGTACACACCAATGCATTTTCAACACTCCTGACTCATCACCCTTCCAGACTTGTAGTAGATTTACTAAAGCTCTGGAGCTTCAAAGGGCTCCCATACAGGTATCATAAATACACCTTCAAGGAATATAGCATGCCCTCACTTACAGTCAGCACAACAGAACCATTGGCTGTAAACACACTCATAGCCAAGATTTGCAGAGGGGTCTTCCAATCTCCACCATTTACTGCATGGCACCAAACACAAACACATTGGTATTGTCACAAGGAAATCTTCCCTCAAACAAAGACTAACCTTGGACTTATTGGCAACACACACCTCCGCTACCCCAAGTCTCAACTCCCTCATACCCTCCGAGGAGTTTCCTTACTATACAACACCATCGATCTACCTTTACAGCTATCACTCAGGCATGGGTTGAAGCTTGGTTAAGTAAGACCAATATCATCAACGCAGTAAACGGCTACCATCTACCCTACACACTGGAACTTACATGGCATAAAATGGGCAATCCTTTCCCCGCTCAACTTTCAGGCTACAGATTAGCCTACTATCGATATTCGCAGATACTCTGTGCTGGTTATGATAACATATCCAGAGGCCTTACAGTCATACACTATCTAGAAGACTTCTTGTTGATCAAAGATAACATGTTTTTCACTAGAAGCCTCATGGCAGCTTAGTCTGGTTGACCACTTGGGTGTCCCAGTACCCCATAAGAAACAGAAGGCCCAGACACTATTATCACATTACTGGGCATACGACTTGAGTCGGCATCCATACACACAAGTTACCACAAGACAAATAGGGAACATTCTCAACTACATCAATCACTACCTCCTGCTTAGTAATTACAACTGCAAGGAACTACAATCCCTTCCAGGTTCCTTAATTTTGCCATGCCAATCATACCACACTTTCACATCCAGAGTACCTTCCCCTTTTTTCCATACTTCCAACATGACGATCAGAGGATGTCCCTAGACACCCCAGCAACAGCAGACCTGCACATGGGGGGGAATTTCTTAACATGTAAAAACATGTTCCTTCCAGGATTGTCTGACACTTCTCCAACTAGATGGTCAGACGCGGCGTCTACCACGGGTTTGGCAGTGATCTACCGGGAACCATTACTTTGGAGCTGTTGGCCATGGCATCCAGGTTTGGAAATTTTTCCACCACCTCAGCCCCTTTGGGGGATCTACCCCATTGTAGCAGCTGCTGTGGCATGGGGTAAATCATGGTCATCAATCCGTTGTTACTCAGACAACTAAGCACATGTCATATCATCAACAAATGCCACTACTCATCCATAAGGTCATGATATTTCTGGGGAACTCACTTGGTTGGCAACTTATCACATTTCTTTTACTTTCCTGTACCAGGCGGGGGTATACATCCCTGCCGACAATTGGGTCATTTAAATTCCAGGCATGTTCATCATACGCTTCCTACAGCCGCCCATACAGTCACGGCCACTCTTTCGTTCCAGAGACAAAATCATGGATTAGACATACTCATGCAGCATAGCATGCACTATCCCACCTAGCACTTTTGCTCCATACTTGTAGAACGCATAACACAGCTTTTCACCTGGCTTAAAGAATCTCATTGGAACACGACCTGTGTCATAACATTTCTCCTTGGTTTTGCTTCTTTTTGCCACCTTAAACTATCTCACACACTGTAACGGATCACCTGGCACTCCGACTGGGTACCTCCGTTAAAGGATGCTCCTAGCGCTTCCTGAGGACTCCAAGCACTGCAGCAGACACCACAACCACCGAACCAGAGAAGCATATGAATCTTCTCAAGCATATGAATGCTGTAGATAGTTGAATAGGAACCATACGAATAGGTTTACTCTCCTAGCAGTCAAACTGGAACAGCATACAATAAATCCTTCCCCCAATAATGAAACGACACTTCACTTTGAGGGTTAAAACAGGAACTCCTGTACTGGCACATACAGCTTCTTTTATTCCCAATCCACAAACATAGTACTGCCCACAGGGTTTTACAGAACAACCAATAAACACGTACAATACACACAGTCACTCCCACACAAAATCCTCCCCTCTGCCTGTAATACAATTACCTTACACAATGGGTAATCTAATTATCACAGACAGAGAAATACAGTTTCATAAAACACATCACAGGTACCCCAAAACATGCAATAACCCCATAAAATCATTGGAACCGGGGAATCTGGGTGAACCACATATCCAAAATTCACCCAGATCCGTTCAGTACTTTGGAAGATAAAGTTTAATGCAGATTCTGCAGAACATATACAGGCTTAATGAAAAACAATCACTGTATAATGTGTCCCCTGCTGTATAGTCCAAAACCACTGCACAATGTCTCTGTGCACCAAATACTGGCGAGATGGCACCGTGTTGAAAAGTCCAAACAGTGTCTGTGAGTTAAAATGGCCGCCATCCATTGTTCTAACCATGTGCTCCATCCATTGTTCTAACCATGTGCTCCATCCATTGTTCTCACCATGTGCCTCTGATACAGGAAATGGTGGCCACCCAGTAACTCCACAGTATGTCCCCAGATGGTTCTTAAAGGGCCAGCAGCAGCACAACACAAATCCATTATGCCCAAATCATGTCTTTAAAGGGCAATACATCCCAGGGGCCATAGTCAGATGGCAGGAAGCTGGCAATCAGTCTTCTCCAATGCCCAGTGGCGAGGTCGGTTTCGCCACACACACCATTATATATTTTACAGGCATTCAACAACACAGGATAACCTATGGCCAAAACTACCATAACTTCATGCTATCATACCAGACAAGAATATACTCAGAGGTTTTCAGGAATCCGTTCCCCCACGTTCCTCTCAGAGATTACCAATATCCATCCAACTTTTCATCCTTATCGGACCTATTAGATCTACAACCATTCAATTATACTACCAAGTCGGCCATTACCAGCCATGCACATTGCCTTTTATGCCTTTCTCAGGCCAGAGAATCCACTACCATCACCACCACTCAGACAGATCATTGTCTTTAACGATCCCACGTACGTAAACACATATATCATTACCTATTGGCGCTACCACATTCCGAAACGAGTCAACACGCACCAACAGTAGAGATAACATACTATCCTACCCACAACAAATGGTGTCCACTTTCGGTCCTAGATTCCTACCTTCAAAATCTTTCTAGGAATTAAATACTGTAATGCATTTAAGGAAATGTCTGGTTAATTCGTATATATTTATTGACTGTATTAAATCTTTGAATATTCATTTTTGCCCTCTTTATTTACAGGCCTACCGTATCGTCAGTCTCAGCACACCATAACCGACTTGCTCCCTTTATACTATCCTACGCTTATGCTGGATCCTTACTCCATATACGACTATTTGCCCCTTACACAAGTATTAAGGCCGTTTGGCCTGTATTTGTGGGAGGGGCTTAAATTAATTCACTCCCCTATATAAGGGACACCCCTTACCTGACTCATATAGCTTGAGGTCAGCATCACAATGACCCTCCCACCCACTCCTCATTTCAACACTTTCTCTTTTCTTTTCATTTACTTTACTTTCTTACTCCTTGGTGGGCCCTCTTTATTTACAGGCCTACCGTATCGTCGGTCTCGGCACACCACAACCGACTTGCTCCCTTTATACTATCCTACGCTTATGCTGGATCCTTACTCCATATACGACTATTTGCCCCCTTACACAAATATGTGTGTGTGTGTGTGTGTGTATATATATATATATATATATATATATATATATACACACACATTTACACACACACACACACACACACACTTTTATTTTCTATATATGTATAATATATTATAAAATAGTTAAAGCATTTTGTTGCTTTATCCCTCCTTCAAAATCGCCTCTCTAGATTGTCCCTGTATGAGGCCAGTTTCCTTCACATTTTGAATGTTTAACATATCTTCGCAGCACCAGAATCCTTTGGGATGAATGTGGAATGGAAAGACATATTATCCATTTGTAGTTTTTATTTCTAGGAAATGTTCTTAAAGTTTTGGCTTCAGCATTTGTCAGGTTCAAGCAACTCCACAAAGTTCTGAATATATAGCCAGTACACTAAAGCTAAGTTCAAAGTCTGCACCCTATTCATAAAGTTATAATTTTGGCCATAGCTTTTTAAATTTATTTCAAAGAAAATATTAAGTTGTTTTTATAAATACATAAAAAATGTGCTGTATGTGTAACGGACCGTTTTGCACAAAAGGGGTAAAAACCGTTTAGGCGATCGGCCCCCTTTCCAGAGATGCAGGCACAGCTACTGCAGAACACCAAACACACGAACCTCCAATAAGTGAATGCTCCAAACACCCGAACTGCATACAAGGGAATGCTCCAAACACCCGAACTGCAAACAAGGGAATGCTCCAAACACTCGAACTGCATACAAGGGAATGCTCCAAGCAGGGCCGGACTAGGAAAAAAATTAGGCCCGGGCATTTTTCAATTAGAGCGGCCCCCCAAGAAGGGGGCGGGGCCAGAGAGGGTATGTCTTGTCATCACTAATGACAAGCACGCCCCCTCTCAAAGTGAGCATGTTGGTTCAATGCGCAGAGCCCCGCTGAAGAGCTCTGGCATTAGAAAAAGGCCCTGTATTTGTTCTGCGCAGCACAAACAAATGTAATAACATGCTTGCACTGTGTTTGCTTTTAAATTGTCTCTGGTGTCTCCACAAGTGGGATACCAGAGGACAAAACGGCCAGGAAAGTGTATGGTGCATGTGTTTGGCGCCTGCTTGTGGGATTGCCTGTGTGTAGAGTGTGGTGTGGTATTGTGTAAATAGGTGTAATATGTGTGGCTAGGGGCTGTAGAGAGTGCGTGTATAGGGGCATAGTGTTATAGGGGATGTAGCGAGTGTGTGCATACAGGCAGTAGTGTGTGTGTGTGTATAGGTGACGTAGTGTGTGTAGGGGTTGTAGAGAGGGTGTGTTTAGAGAATGTTGTATGTGTTTCCTTACAAGGAATGTAGTGTGTGTGTGTAGGTGGTGCAGTGTTTGTGTGTGTGTAAGAGATCTAGTGTGTAAAGGACCCACAGTGTGTATAGAAGATTGTGTGTGTGTGTAGAGGATTAAGAGTGCATATAGGGTAAGGGATCTAGCGTGTATCTGGAGCGTAATGTGTGTAGTGGTGCAGTGTGAGTGTGTCTCTGGAGGTGCTGTGTGTGTATCTGGGGTGCTGTGTGTGTATCTGGGGGTGCTGCGTATGTATCTGGGGGTGCTGCGTGGGAATTTATTTTAAATATATATATTTTTTTATTAATAATTTTAAAAAAAGTTATGTCCCCCCCCCCCTTACCTTTATCCTGGGAGGGGGGGAGGAGATCCGTTCTGCCTGGGGGGTGGGGTGCCATGCTGCCTTCCCTGGTGGTCGAGTGGTGAGAGTGAACTCTAACCTGCAGGTTAGAGTTCACTCTCGCGAGATTCTCGCTCAGAATCCCACGAGAGGACCCAGCGGAGCTGCTTGTTAGAGCTCCGCCGGGTCCTCTCTCCTCCCTCCCTCACCCAGCCGGCGGCCGCATCTGCATGCCTCTGGGCTGGTGAGGGAGATCTTTGATCTCCCCACCGGCCCACGGAGGCACACAGCAGGGCCGGCGCTCCCTGCCGGCCTCGGCCCCACGGCCATCGCGGCCCACCGGGCATTTGCCCGGTGTGCCCGATGGCCAGTCCGGGCCTGGCTCCAAACACTCGAACTGCATACAAGGGAATGCTCCAAACACTCAAACTGCATACAAGGGAATGCTCCAAACACTCCTGAACTCACGAATAGCTGCTAGCAGACGAACAGGAAAAGCACCCAAGCGGCTTACACTCCTGGCAATCAGTCTCTATCAGCATACAGTAAATCCCCCCAAAGACGAGACAGAGCTCCGTGTTGAGGGTCAAGCAGTGGTCTGTTTAATGAGGGCTACCTGCCCAGTATTTATGCAGGTCTCCCACCTGGTGGACACTCCCCTAGGGGACCAAATGGGAGACTGTGACAAGGGACAGACAAGCAGACAAATAGGACACACAGTCACAATATATTCCCACAATGCATCCTGGCTTCCTCCCCTCTGCCCTGGAAGATAATTGAGAAGTAATTCAATTATCTCCCAAGACAAAGGCAAATCTCCATTATGCACATGGGGATACTAAAACAAGCATTACTGTTAAAATACACCAGGTAAGACACATTACATTAAAACTATACATTTAACATATCCCCAGATAGTTGGTGAATGGCGCTCAGACCACATGAATACAGCTTTTCTGCAGGCGAAACAATGTCTTTTAACAGGGGGCCATAGTCCAGAGGCAGCAGGCGAGCAACCAGGCTTCTCCAATGCAATGTGACGAGATTGGTCTTGTCACAGTATGAATAAAATATTAACCCATTAATGAGCAACTCTATGAGATATATTCACTAAAGTCGAATGGCCAGGTACCAAATGGGGCAAATCAATTCAGTGCAGTATGGGGCATTCAGACTGCAAAATCCAAACATTGTTCACACTAACAATCTGAATGAGCCTGAATTTCATAATCAGCGTTAAAATCCATGTCCACATTCTTAAAAGCTGGGCCAAGATTGAAAAAACCTGAACTTTTTTCACGTTGGCATCATTGGCAGTCAGACTGCAAATAATGGGGAAAAAGACATCAGAGGTGCAAAGGTGAACTGTGTCTCGGCTGGCCAGCACTTGCTGGTCTGCTGTCACATTAAAAAATTAATACATTTTTCCAAAGCCCATAGGAGCCTATATGACTCGTATATTATTATAACAGAGTTTTCTAACCTCCCTTATGCTCCCACCAATCATGCCGCGGGTAGGAATATGCCTACTAAAAAGTAAGCATCCAACAGCTTCTCAGTGTTCTTAAAACTAGGCATTGGCACATGGCAAGGTCTATAAATAACACAGCTGGGGCCAGTGCCCAATGCACTGTTGCTTGTTTTAGCTGTTAGCTGCTCACTGTTTATTAGGTGTACTCCAACTGGCAGGTTTTAAACCTCTTTTACACTAGTATGGGAGTCATACTGACCCCCACAGTCATTTAAATTTACATTTTTGTAATGTGGTGGCTGGTTACCAAGCTCTGGCCAGCAACCACATAGTTAACCCGCATTCTGCCATGAGTTTTTTTTTTTACCTGTTTGCCCACTGAGTGCTAGTGCTTACTGCTGACAAATAGTATTTATAATTATCGTAATTATAAGTTAACAATTATTTGCAAATGTACATCCTACCAGAAACAGTTACTCCTGATTTTGTTTAAAGTCAATGTTTTGTAAACATTCTGGATTCTATACTTTGTATAGGGTTCAGATGTAAAAAGTATTGATTTTAAACCTGATATGAATGCATCCAGCCGAATGGTGCAGATCCAGTCAGGTTGACTGAATTCCAACCAGAATGGCTTTAGTAAATAGAACTGATCTTCACAGACTATTCGTGTTCTCCCTTGGTGATTGGAAACCGCATGGATGCACCAGAATATGCTGTCACGTCACAGGACTTACTTCAGTTTACGGGGGCCCCATGGCTATGATATATGTGATCCACCAGCTCTTATACAGCATCCTGTTTGCTCTGTTGGCACCCAGGATGTCTGTGCATGATTAAAACATGATTGTGGCTTTGAGGCTCTCACAACCACAGGTCAACCCAAAATGCAGGGCCTTGGGTCTCACTCGTCACAGCAACATGGTCATTAAAGCCCTGTTTAGTAGACCTGGAGATTTGTTTTGGATCAAACTGCAATTTACCTGAATTTGGGCCGATTGGGTTATATGAAGAATTACCAATTTGCAAACCGCCATGTTTCAAAATCTAAGGACAATGGACTTGTGTGAGCCCAAACATGCTTGTTTTCCTTAACCCTTATTTAGAGTGCCTTTTCTGGCACCAGAAAAAAAAATGGTATGGAATGGAGAAAAGACAAATAAATAGTCAGTTTAGTTTCCCATGATGGATAAGAGATCTGACCAATCATATCGGATGGATCTGCTGTCCAATCAAGAGATAGCAAAAAAGATGTTTGATTTTTAGGGAACAGCTTAAAGAGTTGATATTGTTCACAGATGAGGTGACAACTTGCCAATATAGGGAGGAAAATAGGGGGAGCAATAAAACAACTAAAATTTCAAGTAGAATTCTTCTGGACAGTTTGACTTCAGCTATTGAGACTGACCACCAGTGAAACAGTGTGTGTTACCCTTGCTGTTACAGTGATAGAGTGTGTAGATAGCTTGGGTCATTGATTCTAGTGTGAGACATACTTTAGCTTTACTAGCATGCTACTACTGCCTAGAGCAGGGGTAGGCAACCTACGGCACTAGTGCCATGCATGGCACTCGAGGTGTCTTTCCACGGCACTCAAGGCTGCTAGAGCCAAACAGGCTCTGGCCTATCAGGCGTCTCAGTGAAACTTCAGATATCTGCTAATACGAAAAGGTGGTGAAAGAAAATCCTCAATTTATGCATTGCAGAACGTAGAGGAAGTGACCTCAGATCAGTTCCTCCCAGCACTTGTGAATGGGAATCCACACTGTAGTAGAGCAGCCTGCAGCTGCTGTTGCAGCTCCTGTCCTTGACCTGTACCTGGCCAGCCTGGTCTCCACTGGAACCCAGGGAAGCCACTCACACTGCTAGATATACACAGACCTGCAGAATAAGCCTCCCCTCATACAAATAATACAAACAGCCCACACACAAACTGTGGCGAAACCGACCTCGCCACGTGTCCTTGGAGGGGGCTGCTTGCCTGCCTCTTGCCTTTGGACTATGGACCAGA